TGGGGCTGCGCCCCGGCCGCCGGGGGGACCGGTTCTCCTTCCCTGAAGAGGCATCTTTAGAGGGAGATTTAATTGGCTTTTTCTCTTTGTCAGTCTCTGATCTCCTAGGTTTTCTATCTTTGGACCGTGATCTTCTATCTTTGGATTTGCTTCTTAGTTCTGCTGGAGATTTAGACTTTCTGCCACGATCTCTGCTCTTGTTTTCATTCACAACCGGAGACTTCCTGCGATCTCTCGATTTGCTTTTGTCATCGGCCTTGTTTCTGTCCTCTGGAGGAGATTTAGACTTTCTGTTCTTCTCCTGAGATCGCCTTTTAAGCATTGGAGACCTAGATTTCCTCGTTTGATCTTGAGACTTACTTCTCTTATAAGGGCTTTTGGATTTCCTCCTCTCTTTTGACTTGCTTCTCGTCGTCTTCTCTTTGATGCCGTCGACTCCCGCCTTGCCTTTCTTTTTGTCAGACCTGTGCCTAGTCCTTTCTTTTGATTCACTCTTACTTGCTTTCTTGGAACTAGGTTTATTGTCCACGGGCTCCAGCTTCCCCTTAGTGCTGGCCTTGGCTGCAGGTCTCGTTCCATTCCGTGCCTTTTCATTGATCTCCCCCTCCTCCTCAGACCCCGACTCGTAGCCTTGCAGAATTAACCCCATCCCAGACTGGACCTTCCCTTCCATTAACTCGTTTTCAAGCTCAGCTTTCAATAACGCTCTTTGTTTCTCCAAGTCTTCCAGAGGAGCTAAAAAATCAATTTTAGTTCTTTTTGCTGGTCCATCTTCTTTGTCAGAGGCATCAGCTACCTCTTTCCGTTTATGTTTCTTATGCTTGTGTCTGTGTTTGTGTTTTTTGTCCTTATCTTCTTCTGAAGAGTGTTTGTGTTTCTTGTGTTTACTCCGGTGTTTGTGTTTCTTCTTTTTGTGCCGGCTGTGCTTGCCCTGAGGCTGCTCTGCCTCCGACACCTCCCCGTTCTCCTCATGGACACTCTTCTCTGATGCATCAGCATCCTCCACCCTGCAAGAGAGAGGAAACCAAGGTCAGCACCATCACCTCAGCGGGCCCCTTGCCTTGGCTGGGTGGTCTTCCCAGGACAGGGACTCACAGACACCTTAGCTTCTCCTTTGGGAGAATGAGACACGAATGACTGTGGGCACCAAGTCCTCCCAGCAGACACTTCCTCAGGGACAGGCAGCCCTGGCTGCAGAAAGGACTATGGTGGAGCAAAGGCACAGCAAACACACCAACAAACCCAAATCTGCTGCACCATACACTCAGTGTCTTCCCAGTTCAGGAGAGGATCTCTGAACAGCACACAGCGACTGACTCCCCTGCCTTGAGTTAACACACATCCTAGTGCCAGCAAAGAACCAGACTGCCCTGCAACAGAGTATTTCCTAAAACTGTTAATGCTTCAGTGCTCTAAAATGAGAAACTTTCTAAGGGAGCAGAGTCAAAAACCTGCAGAGTTCAGAGAGTTAAGCCAGAAGGCTCTGTGCTTTCCCTTCCACACCCCCAGGGCTGCTGCTGCTCACTGGGAGCACACAGAGGGGGGGTTTCCCTCATGTGCCTCCTCCTGGCTCTCCACACCGTCACCACAGGAGAGTGTCAGGAAGAAAGAGGACAAACTGCCTCTGAGTGAACTTACTCTATGTTGCACTTGGCACAAAAGACACAAAAAAGGAGAAAAAAGCATTAAATATAAAACTTTTTCAACTTGGGATTCTCAGTGCAGAGCAAGCACGTCGGTGACATTAGCTGGCTAAAGGGCTGAGAGACACCACGAGGAGAATTTTAAGGGAACTGGGCATCTTTCAAGATTTGAGTTGGATACAGTATGCTGTATAAGTCCCTGATTAAGACATGAATGGTACTTCAATACCTTGTAAAAGTTCAGTCTGCTCCACTAAGCCTTTCCTCTCTTAGTAGCAGAAAACGATGCTGAAATCTATGTGACCTGATCTTGTAGCCCCACTTCTCCTTACTCTTGAATTCAAGAAGAACGATAGGAAGTTCCCAAGGATCTCCAGAGATTCCACCCATCATTTCCTGCATTCAGGCCTCCTACCATCACTTTTCACCTGACTACTCTCAGTTACGTTTCTCCACCCAACACTAACTCACTTCTTCCTGTGCTCACGGACCGCGGGCACATCCAGCGCTCCTCCTGCGAGGAACAAAAACCACCCCAGCCTCAAACCGCAACTTTTACGGCAGAAAAAAACTACGGGAAGCAGTCGATACGGATAAAACATCCAACTAGCGAAGAGGAGCGAGAGAGAATTAGGGTGGCTGCTGCGGGAGAAGGGAGTGCTCGCGGGTGCCGACCCCCGGTCTCGGGGAGCTAACGGGGGTGCCCGGGACGCGGGCCGTGCGGCCGGCTGCCCGCCGG